ATAGACTATGTAATAAGAGCCCTGAGCAGCTCTTGCAATGTAAAAGGCATTTGAAAATTTTACATTTTTCTGTTCATCTGTTATTGTCTTGACATGTGACATGATGGTTGGATGCAGAGAGGTTGGTATGACACGCCATATAAGCTTCAGTGATGGCCTCAACCAGTAAGCAGATCAGGAAGAGATGGCAACAAACAGTTCAATGAACACCAGACCGTAACGGAAGTGTCTGAGAAATCCAGGTCCCACTTTGGCGTTAACATGACCTCTGTCTAATATGACATTTTCTTTTGTGCTGGTGTCAGTAATTCTAGTGACAGAAAAACCCCACCTTGCACCCGAAGCTCACTGCTGGACATACGACCCCAAGTGGTTCTTACAGTCCTGACTTCTTGTGGTGGCAGAAATCTGGAATCCTTCTTGCAAAGCAAACAAAGCTTTTATCTTTGGGAGAGGCAGCTGGGAACATTTCTGAGATGTGAAGGGTGTGTGTGAGATCTGCAAGGCAGAGGGAGCCAGGAGGTATCTTCTCTGTAGGAAATACTTGGTGACCGGGTGGTGAGCATTCCTCTGAGATTATGAACTACTCTTTCCACTGTGTACAGCAAACACTTGAGTCATGCTTTCAGAGCGGAGTCAGGTGAAGTTCTGCCTTGTTTTGGGTTTGCTGTAGTTTACAGTTCACTGTTGAATCAAACCTCGTGAACATTTTTGGCTTCGAACTCTGCAGATGCTCTTAGCTGCCTGGACTGGGCTGTGTGCACAAAGAGTAAAAAGGGTGTAGGTGTGTGCGAGGAAAGGAGCTCTCTTTGGCCGTGCAGAGCCCCACTTCGGTTGGCCATTTTAGCACAGCTGTGTGTGAACGCATTGGAGGTGGGTTGGACATGGAGGCCCATTCCTCCAGCTCACATTCCTGCTGACATTGAACTCTTCCACACTCACAACAACAGATCAAGTGGTTACATAAAGGTGTGCCCTGGGTTTAGGACTTGGCCCTCATTAAAAATATTACGGCCTCAACTTCGCTCTCCTTAAAAACTGGCAGTTCTACTTTGGGAAAGGCCTTGAAAAGCCCTGACTGCCTCTTGGTGAGTTCAGCAAATGATGGACAAGGAGAGCAGGGTACTCACAGATGGTTTTCCTATTCATTTGAGATGGAATTGCTTTTGTCTGTTGCTCTTCGCTTTGGCGTTAAGTCTTTTTGGCTGGAAGAGGAGTGTGAAGAAATGCCTGCCTTAAACATCCTCAGCTGAGAGCTGAGCGTGGCACAGTTCAGCTGTCTTTTCTGGACCTTCAGCCTGTCTGGGCTGTGGTAGAATCAAATTAGAGGTGCTGTGGAGGAAAATGGGCTTCATAAAGCCTTTGTGCCTCCTGCAATCAGGAGCTGTGGGATACCAGCATTGTCAGCGGTGCAAGTCTTTGAACTTCAGGGGTTAGAAGAAGCTCTTCTTGATAGTCTAGGGAGACGGTGCTTGTACTGAGATGGGTCCTCTACAGTCCTCCTCCTAGGAACCTCATCTCCAAAATCCCACTGAGGATCTCGCAGCAGCTCTGGTCTCTTCCTGCTCAGAGATTCCCTCTCAAGAAACACATTCTCTCTGCACCCCTCTCTGATGGACCTAAGAAATGGGCTTTGTGCTCCTTTCAGTCCTGACAGCCCTCGCCTGTGGCCAAGGGGAGGAGGTTGCAGAAGCTGAGCTCTCCCTCTTGGCTGACAGTCTCAAGAGAGTGTTTCTGTTGGCAGGGAGAAATGGAGTAGGGAACAAAAAATAGCTGGTTTCTTATTTCCTGAGTCATTGCTGTGTCTAGGTTTCTTTCTGCACTGATGATAAAATTGTGCAATGTAGGCTTTGGGTCCTTTCTTATCCTCTCCCTCTCCCATGAGATTTCTAGATACTCCCTTTAATGCATTATTCTGCATACGGTTCCCATCCACAGCTCAAACCCATGTGAATAAGGAGAACATACTCTGTGCACCCAGGCTGAGGAGCCCCTCCTCTCCTTGATTTACTTACCCTTATCCTATCATTTTAATTTCTATTGGTATTCCACTTTTCTTTTTAATCTTTTAGGGAAGGGAATATGGCAGCCACAGGCAGCCAGGATCCCAGCTCTGAGGAGGGCCAGAAAGAAGGAGGACAGGAGAAGCCTGCAATGATGGGGATTCTTCACATTCCTCTCCAGCCTGGTAGGACGATTTAGGGATTAAAATCCATGACAACAAAGACAGAGAAATAACGCAGCTTTCCAAGACTTGGAGAGCCATTAAATGTAATAACTGCAGCATGCAGAAAGCTGGGAGACACCAAGCTGGGCTCAGCAGTGAAATCACTGCTCATGGGTGGTGCCCATTGGGGTCCGGAGAGAATAAATCCAGCCCTCATAATCTATCATGTATTTGAGGAACTCGGAAAAACAGGCTTTTCTGTTAGGTTTTGTCTTCACTGCTGAAAAAGGTGCGTTCCTCCTGTGAAACAATCCGTGCGTGTTAACTCACCTGTTGTGAAACCCTGGAGGAAGCAGTTTTATGAAGAGATATAGAAATAGGGCAGAAGGAAAGTATGCAACCACAATAAATAAATACATTACAGTCTCATTGTTACTTTCACTGTAAAGGTTAATTTTTAAAGCAGATTGAGAAGACAAACTTGTTAGGTCCATGCCTAACAAGGGCACTGAAGCGCCACTTTACAGATGCCATGATGGATCTGCTCAGAATAAATTGTGTTTATTCAACTCTGGCCCTTAGCAGCAGGATTGTGAGTGGAGACAACATACACAGAGAGGTGATGTTTAATTTTAGTTATACTGAACTCTGCCCTTCAAATCCTGGTTTGGTCTCAAAGATCAAGAGCCATGGAACTGGTCGGTGGACACAGCTTAGGAGGTGTATTCAGAATAGGAAAGAAACATTCAGAAATTCAGACAGCTTTTAAAAAATAAACCAAAAGATATGACCATGCAGCTGTCGCCTATCTTATCTTTGCATTTTGTTACAAAGCAAATTGTTTTCTTAGGGCTTCCAGATGAACACTGACATTTTGCATTTTATCACCAATATTAAACTTGCCTCTCAGCCGTAATGTAGGTTTAACTGGGAAAAGGTCAATCCCCCTTAACACCCTGAGCCTCCTGGATCAGCCAAAACCCAAAACAGGAAGGCAAACAGTGAATGCTGTGATCTGAACAGGACATCAGGGACTTGAGTCTGATGGGAGTCTTATATTGCTCTTTTATTCTTAGAATATATTAGCAGGATTTCTGCAGCTTACACGACTCCAATAGCTCCTCATGCCACCTTGGTTTCATTGCTATTCTACATATATATTGGTTTCAGCAGTGCAAAGGAAAAGGAAATGAAGTGCACATGGCATGCATGCAGAAATGCACCAAAAGGAATGCTGCCTTGTGAAAGAAGGATCTGATGAGACCTGTGCTCTATGATCTCAGCCTCACTGTGCTTGCCGCAGGGTTTCACTGGCTGTGATGATGACTGCTGTACTTTCTGATGAATGCCAGGAATGCAAGGCTGTCTGCAAACACTTGAGCACAAGTAAAATATCTGCCAAGGAGTTAGGAGAGTGATGCCTTCGCTTAGGGTGGCAGAAAGCTGCTACAGTGCTGCACTGTTGTGCTGTGGCGTGGGATACAAAGAAGGAAAAGGCTTTGGTGTAATTCTATTTCCTGTCACCACCTTAAAACTGCCCTTCTCTACCTCTCCTCCCTTCTGACAGATATCATTCCCTCACCACCACTGCTTTACCGGAGTTTCCAGTCTGTCTGACTCATCTACAGGCCTCCCCTACAGTCCCTTCTGTACCTCTCCTCCCCATCAGCTGAAAGGGTGATGGGTTTTGGTGGTGTCCTGTGGAAATCCTCCTACTTTTAGGGCTTTTAAGGAAGGATTTATTTTTAAATATTCCAAAGGGAATCTTTAGGAGGCCTCCAGCTGCCTTCCGGCCCAAAGATTGACCCTGCTCTAGCCAACATTTCCTTGTCCATGTGTTTGCAAAAGGGGAGTATTCCTTCCTGGGTCCTTCTGAAAGTGTCTAAAGGGATGGTGGTGGCTGTAGGGTCGAGGGGAGAACTTCTGAAGGGCACAAAGCAAAATGTCAGCTCTGTATGTTCTCCACTTATTTGCTCTTGCACTTTGTGCCGGCACAGAGGAGTTCTGCTCTATTAGGGCAGCCTGTGTGTTGTAAAACTGGACTCTTGAAGCAGCAGCCTGACTCCTGGCAAGGAGAGACAAATAGTCCCAAAGGATTTATCACCATGTGCATCCCAGATCTGTCTCACTCAGAGAGGGACTTTTTCCTTCTGTCAGTGGAGCTGCCAGGCTCACAGCTGCTGAGAAACAAGGGGTTAGAAGCTTCTGACAGCTGCATCAATTGCATAGAGATCACCTAAACAACCAGAAACAAAAATAAACAGTAACAAAACAACGATTGAAAACCTCCCTTTACCATTCAAGTAGAAGCTTTACTTTCCCCGCTGTGAATTCCATTTCTTTCTCCTTCCCGCTTTTCCCTGCATTATCCTTTCACCCTTTTAATACATCTAAATGAACAGAGGGGGAAAGGGCAGAGGAAAACAGCTGTGTAAAATCCTGAAGGCAGCGGGGAGGTTTTTGTACTTCTGCTCCGTGGTATCAAATGAGAAGGCTGCAAATTTTCTTCTGCTTTAAGCTCCCGCTCTGCGAGTGTTTGTGGTTACAGCTCTGTGCTGGCGATTTCTGACCTGCTGTTTGGCTGCTGTGTTTGTCGTGTCGTGAAATAAGTCCCCAGCAGTGCACACAAACCCTTTCAACCCAGGCACTGCCTCCAGCTCTGGGCTCTTCCCTTGGACTTACAGACTGCGGGGTCTTTTTGGGAGCTCGGAGTCTTCTGGAAGGCATAAAGGAAAGGAGCAGAACGTGTTGGAGACAGCAGCAGAACAGAGGCACAGCTTAGAGCTGCAGGAGCAGGAGGCTGGGCAGCGATGACGGCCAGATTTAATGGGGAGGAGCCAGGGCGAGCACGGCGCTGGGGCTCAGCGTTTGGCCTCAGTCAATGCACTGGGTGCGTGGATGCGGCAGAGAAATAAATGAGGAGTCATAGCGAAGACATCTTTGCAGCCAAGGGAAAAGGAACTGACGTTGGGGATCGCTGGAGCGGGGAGCAGAGGGAGCCTGCTGGGTCTGGCTTCCACCCGCAGCAAGCTAACATCTGGGCACAGCTGCTTCCCGGAGCCCTTTCTGCCGCTGCACGTCGCCTTCTTTGGCGGCCATGGAGTCGAATGGCAGTTTCCTCGGTTGCAACAGTAAGTCAGTAGACGTGTCCTTGCATTTCAGCCCTCCAAGAGCTTTCTTGTCTCCTCCTCTCTCCTCCCTCCTCGTTTTGCTTCTGCAGCTCTGTCGTTTGCAAGTCACGCAGTGTTTAGTTGTGTTACAGGAGACAACAGATTTTTCCTCTGTTAATACAGCTAGCTGTGCTGGTAGGATAAGTCTTGGGTGGTAAGTGTGTGTGAGTCCAGAAAAGTTGTTCCAAATCTCCTCCTCCTTTTTTTGTGAAATAGAAAGTGGGATGGATGCTCCCTGGATCAAGTCTCTAGGCTCTGGGGTAGGCAGCAGAGCTGGGATCAATCCCCTTGCTCTGAGCCTGCCCCCAAGGCTCTGTAAATGCTCAGTGAAATATGTTTCTACAAAAAGAAGAAATCCTCTCTGCACTGACAGCAAGTGAGGTTTGAAAAGTCTCAGTGCCAAAACTAGGAGGCTTGTCTGACAGAGTAATGAAACATCTCTTATTCCCTGGGCTGAATTTAGTACATTGATTTGTTACATCTTTCTTGTGCTTCACTCATTCCGATGAGCAGCGACAGCTCAGGACTGTGCTAGCTGCAGCTTGAAATGTGAAAAATCTACAGTACTTATTTTTAGTTCATGAGATGGATGCTTTCTTTCTGCTGACTGCAGCTATAAATGAAAACAGATTAATAGAGCAATCAGTGATTGACCACCGTAAGGTAAAATAAGAGAAAACTCCTCCCAGGCTGATTATCCCAGATCCCAGAAATCAGACAGGAAGGTGAAACAGAGGTTAATGTTGAACTTTTTGTAGGTATCTCATTCATTATAGAACCGCTGGGGAAAGAAAGTTAAGGAACACATCTGGAACTATTAAAAGCTTTCTTATTCTGGTGTGTGGGTCATTTTTCAGTGAATATGACTTGCTTTCTGGGGTTAGGGACCAAGAAGAATTCAGTGTATGTTCATCTGTTTTCTTGTCCTGGGCAGAAAAGTACACACGTGGTGAATAAGCCAAGCTTTCAGAAATGTATTTACTGAAATTCCTTGACACGTATGTGCACAAGTGCCAAAGTCACTCTGCGTGCCAGACTGCTTAAACAAGAAGAGTTGCTCACAGGTTGGTTTGCTAGCAGGATCAGATCTGTGCTGTTCAGTGTGCTAGAAATGTTTCAGATGCTGTGAGTTATGCATATGTTTATCTATGGCCCTCTGCTGAAACTCCACTTCTTTCTGTCCAACAGAGATACAGTGATGACTGTGTTTTCTGTATCAGAATTAACCATGGACACATGGCTCTGTCTCAGTACAATATCTGGCAGTCAGAGCTGAGATTTTTTCCAGTAGTGAAAGTGGACATTACTGTCAATGAGGGCTCTGAAAAGTTTGTGGAGTGCTGTTTGTGCTGTGTTTGGATGGAGATCTGAGTCCTGGAGCAGAAACTGAGCATGCTCCCCTTGTTTGTACTCCCAGCATAAAGCCACTGTGATTTTGTGGATTGTGCCTCTTATTTTGCCTCTTATTATGGGTTTAATTCAACTGTATGGGCTACTTGTTGCTTCTTTTCTAAAGGCTCATCTACGTTTGTTACGCAGTGAGTCTCTGCTGGGCTCCATAGGCTATTAATAACTTTTGTTTTGCCTCATGAACCTGGCATGTTTCTGAACTGGGAGTCCTTGTGCTCACACAGAATCGTAGAATAGCTAATTTGTGCTATGTCTTATTCTTATACACTGACCTCTTCATACAAGACACTGTGCACATTGTGCCCAGAATGCCAGAGCCCCGTTACAGGGATGCCTTCTGCCGCAACCCAGGGTGGGAGTCAGCAGGGCAGGGTTTGTAAAATCCTACAAAACAGGCCGTTTCCTTGTTTCTCCTGTCAGCTGGACTAACTGCTGGATGTAAATTGCCAAATGAATCATCTCCACCTGCCCTTCTTTAGCTGGGAGTGCTGAGCGGGCTCCTCCAGGGCTTCAGCCTCTGTGGGTGGAAGTGGTGCGGCCAGGGATCAGCTGGGATCAGGTGGTGGCTTTGATCTGCTTTCCTACAAACAAAATGTGCCCAGCACACCCGGTTTGGTGTGAGTTACACCAGGTGCGTTATTCGGGAGCTTGTTAAGCTGTAACTTTGCTAGTAGTGCAGGAGAGTTCATCATGCTGGCGCTACTCAGTGCCTTGAACGTGCAACTTTTCTTTTTTCTGGATGAGTAAAAGTTGTCTTAAGAAGTTACGATTATTCTCACACAAAAGCTACTAAATTTCCAGTCTGAGAAATGTTTTTTTTTTTTTTTAGTAAAACTACTCCTTTGGGGATAGCCCTCTTCTCCCAGGTAGCAGTGATAGGATGAGAGGCCTTAAATTGTACCAGGAGATGTTCAAGTTGGATATTAGGAACAATTTTTTTCTCAGAAAGAGAAGGGCACTGGCACAGGCTGCCCAGGGAGGTGGGACACCATGCCTGGAGGTGTTGCAGAACCATGGAGATGTGGCACTGAGGGACATGGTCAGTGGGCATGGTGGGGGTGGACTGGGGTTGGATTTGGGGATCGTGGAGGTCTTTTCCAACCTTAATTATTCTGTGATAGCCCACAGCCAGTTCTGAGACCATTGTGTGCAGCCCCAACATCAGATCCAAAAGAGGATGAGTGGAGATTTTAAAGAGGAAACAAAAAGAGGAGGAAGAAGGAAATGTAGTTATTTGGAACAATGCTGCAGGTAGTAGAGATGAAAGGAAGGGAAAAGCAAGAGAGAGGTGTGGGGAAGCGCTTGTGCAAGGTCAGGAAACTGGGCCAACTGGATAGGCAGCTCTGGGAGCCAAAGGTGTTGATATTTTGGGAGCAAACCATAGCTTCCCTCACAGGGAGATCAAAATATATAAACACGTATTTACAGGGAAAGCTACGGATCAGTACTTGTTGAACTGAGCATCCAGGGTGAGATTTAGCTGGCTAAATGCAGGTACCTGCAAGAAAATTCAGGCTTATAGGGTGTAGGCAGATGAGTCTCCTGTCCGCCTGCTCAGTGCACTGTAGATACTTCAATGCAGTCAGACAGACCCCCAGGCCATGCACCCCCCAAGTCCTTACCATGGGTTGAGGGTCTCAGTCCTTAATCAAGCCTACCAGAATGGAAGGCTGCAGACCTTGGGTCAAGCATGAAGGTCTCTCTTTTTCCTTATGCAGGTAGAGAAAATGTTGGCACAGTTTCATCTAAACTGAGATAATTCCAGACCTTAATGAGTCAATTTGGACAGTATGTGTGGAGAAATCTGCACACCTTGAGCTGCCCCTCACTTGGGTGCCTTCTTAAGCCTCCTGTTGACAAAAACACAGAAAGTTTTGTTGCCTATTTCTGACTAAAGTTACAGAGTCCTGAAATTCCAGACAAACCACGTAGGGGGGAAAAAAAAAGTTGTTGTTTTTTTCCCCTTAGTTTTGCATAACTCGGTGCTGCAATGCAATGATTGCACAAATTTTGCCCTGCTGTGGAGTGATCTGAGTGACCTGTATTTCGACTGGGGCGGATATTTCAGCTTCTGAAGAAACTGTTGAGAAAAGCTGTTAAGCGTCCTTAAAAAATGAAGCTGGGACGCACCTACAATTGACTTTGGTTTTTATAAAGAGAACATCTTCATCAGAAACGTGGCTTAGGAATTATGCAAGTAAGCTGTTGATGCTGGTCCTATCGATCAAGTTGTCATTCTTCTCTTAAATTACTTTCCTCCCACTGTCTTCACACCAGCTACTGGAAAAGCTGTAATTTACTTCAAGCCAGTGATGGTTTTAGTGCCTCTCTACAGCCAAATCTGCTTGTGTGTCATTGTGGAAGGACCAAACCAAACTCTGATCATAGGACCAAGCCTCTCATCACTGGACAAGAGGTAATGACTTTAAACTTCACCAGGTTCAGGTTGATGATCAGAGGGCTGGAGCACCTCTCTTATGATGAAAGGTTGAGGGAGTTGGGATTGTTTAGCTTGGAGAAGGGAAGGCAGGGAAGACATTGCAACCTTCCAGTATTTGAAAGGAGCTTACAAGCAGGAGGGAGACCAAATTATTACTTAGTTAGATAGTGAGAGGACAAGGGGGAATGGAGTTAAACTGAAAGAGGGAAGGTTTAGGTTAGATGTTAGGAAGAAATTCTTCACTTGGAGGATGGTGAGGTACTGGAATAGGTTGCTCAGAGAAGCTGTGGATGCCCCAATCTCTGGAGGTGTTCAAGGCCAGGCTTGATGGGCAGTCTGATCTAGTGGCTGGCAACCTTGCCTCATAGGAGAGGGGTTGGAACTAGATGATCTTTGAGATCCCTTCCAATGCAAGCCATTCTATGATTTTATGACATTGAGAAAAACTTCTGAGAAAGAGTGGTGAGGCACAGAACAGGCTGCCTGGGGAGGTGGTGGGGTCACCATCCCTGGAGGTGTTCGAGAGCTGTGGAGACATGGCACGGATTGTCATAGTAGTGGGCATGGTGGGTGGGTTGACAGTTGGTCTAGATGATCTTAGAAGTCTTTTCCAACCTTAATGATTCTATGATTCTATGAAATTTTTAGTCTGGTTTTGAGTTCCTGAATGCAAAGAACTTTAGTAAGGAGTTTTATTTGGATTACATTGAAAGTACAAGAAGAAAGCAGTAGCTTTTGATGGGTCACAGACAGTACTGCGCATGGATCCAGGCTGTCTTTGAATGACACAGACTGGTGGGAAGTCATGAAGAAAAGGTAGCTTGGCTGTGAGGACTGAGTGGAGGAGAGCTGGAAAAGGGGAAGTTGTCCTCTCAAAGAATACAGGGAGAAATGAGTCTGAGAAATATTGGGCAGGGTGTCAGCAGTGATCCCAGTGCACCAGAAACCTGCATGTCGTATGGATTCTTGATGCCAGTGGAAGAAGATTTTAGGCAGCAATATGAAGGACAGATGCAGTATGATGCTTAGGAACAATTCCTATGTGAAGCTTTAGGATCACCTGGCTTCTGCATAGCAGGACCTCTCAAGGTTCCTTGGAAGAGAAGCAAAG